TTCTACATTATGCTCTGAATTGTCCTTAATGATTAAATTCACTCTTACTCTCTTGATAAAGAGCGTGGTGTGTGGTGTAGTGGCAAATGAACTTCTCGCTATGCGCACGGTTCCGAGGATTAAACCTTAGCTCGATTCGCGCCGATGCCAAGCATGCCCTCTATCGCTTCAGGTTCAGCTATTCGGTACCGCACTTGCGTTACAAGACCGAAACACTGCTTTGCGCAAGCTGGCTGATTCGGAGAAGAGACTGATCCAACCAAATGCTTCAGTCGCCTTTTCTCTAGACACAACCCAGGAGAACCCTTTTTTCTTCGATACTGGCCCATTTCTTTCGTTTCAGAGCAAAAGACCATCAGCTTTTCCCTTGGTATTCTTCACGGATGAACAGCTAGACAAATTTCTCCATCCCAACTTCGGATCCCTTCTCCTAACAAGTCATCACAGATTGAAATGGTCGCGAATATTGAATGGACTCCCCTCGTCAAATAGGTCTCTATTTTGCTAATAAAAAAAGCTCACTCGTCGTTGAACTTTTGATATGTCTCAGAGCAATGTACTCTCCTTTCTTCCCTGCATCGTAGTTGCAATACGGAAAACCGTAAAGACCCCAGGACGCATTTGGGCGAAGGTGCTTAGCCTTCCGGATCGTTTTCAATATAAAATTCCCTAAATAAGTTGAGTTCAAAAATTTCAACAAAGCGAAGAGCGTCATTACTGTGGATGTCTCATTACCTATGAAAGTTTATATGAAACACTACTCATTCGGTAAAACTAAAAGGGTAAATCGGTAAACTTAAAGTGATGATGAATAGCGAGCAAATTATTCCTACTCCTTGCAAATAAAGATAGCGGAGCAATAGACTGTTGTCTATGAAAATGCTATTGTCTTCACCTTCTCTGACTTCCCTTTTTCAATTCTTGAAAGGTTTCGCATTACATGACTAACATTATGATAGAACACGAAGCTTCTGACACTTTTTTGTACAGAAATACGAGGGGCCACCAGGGTCAAGCGAGGCGTCGAGGAAAATTTGGAAATACGACCCCCCCCCCACCACCCTCCGCCGGAGGCCGAAGTCCATGAAACAACAC